TTCCTAACTCACGATTCAAAGAAAAATATATAATATATATATTTCTTTTTTTTTTTTATAACGAAAATAAAATAAAAGAAAACGAAAGGAAAAAGAATGGGGAAGAAAAAAAAGACACACGATCTAGATCCTCTAAATGAAACCTCTCAACGAGAGCACCAATGATGAAGATCGCGTGTCCCGACTGCCGATAAGCCGCTATCCCGCGCCTTGAATCGCCGATAGGTGTTCTTCGAGCCACAACCGCGCCTCTTGGAACGAATAAAATTGCAATAGAATTTTGGTGGAAAACTAAAGCAAAGTGTTTGAACAAAAGTTCTGGATTCTCTACTAACTAAGACTACTCAAACTATTCTTTCATTCATCCATATGAAAAATAACAAGAGGACATGGGTATTTATAGGAGAAAACTAAATCTAATTTTAATCTAACTAGATCTCCTAAACTGTGCAGTAAATAAATCCTATTCCAACTAAATCTCTAATTAAAGCAATTAAATATTAAATAACCTATACAATCTAGATATTATTGTGCAAGAAGGAAACTAAATATACTAGAGTCCTAATTGACTAGATTGTCTTGATCTTGCTTGGCTTGCACTCCAAACAATTCCAAATTCACACCCATAGTATTCGGCCGTCATATCTTGACCGCCTTATGCGTGCGCGTCGCGTGCCTCCCGCGTGCGCCCATTGCACTCGCACTCCTCGTCTGCGTAGGTCTCTTGCGCGCCCGCCTCATCGCACGCGCGTCCATGCGTGTGCCCAATCCGCTCCCGAGTTCCTCGCGCGCGTGTGCGCTGCCAACCTCGCCTATGCCTATCGCGCCCAGGCATGCGCCTGTCCACTCGCGCGCTATCCCGTACTCGGCCGATTATTTCGCGTTCGTGCCCGTGTGCGCTCACCATTCCTTTGCCTGCTGGGACGCGGATTCCTTTTGTCCGCTCAGCGCCCCGTCCGTCATCACGCGCACTGCGCACGCCCATCGCCCATGCATGCCCGTGTACGTCCCCGCGTGCTTGGTCGCGTGCTATTCCTTGTCTCACGAGACTTCTCAAACCTTCTCGTGCGCGTGTCTCATATCGGGTGTCATCCAGTCCTCGTTGTCGACCTGCAGGATTTCCAGGTCTCGGCCAGGCGCGTCTTGACCCCGTGCGATAAGCCCGAGGCCATGCGTGTGTCCACGGCTTACGTCGCCTTCCTCGTGAACGTCGCATACGGGCACGTACCCGTCTTTTAGGCCATGCATGCGTGGTTTTGGCCTTTTTCTCGGCCTTCTCGGATTGTCTCGACCATTGGCTCTCGGCGTTCTCGGGCCTCGAAAGCCACTTCCGCATCATTCCTCCCCCCTTCGAATGAGTCCTTGTCCTCAAGGACTCGCAAATGACCTTCACTTGGGGCGTCGCCATCACTTCATCTGTATTGTCCTCCCCGTGCGTCCCGTCATCATGGCCCTCTTCGACCACGACCAAAATCTCCTCCTCGACCTCGGCTTCTTTGAACTCGCTTATAACCTCTTTGTTGAACGAGTGTGGTTTCTCGCACTCGACCGGTTCGACCGTAATTTCCACCTCATACTTATCGTGCTCAACCAATTCGACCTCCGTCGCATTCTTGGACTCGCCTTGGGCCTTGTTGCTCACTTGCGACTCCTCTTGTTTGATCTCAGCTTGCTCGCGCTCTCTCCTCGACCGATCATACCCGTAAGGTGGTGGTCGATCATTGTTCGCGGTTGGTCGATGCGCCATCCGTAAGCACTCGTCGAGCCGTGGGCGGTCATGAATGTTTGATGCCTGAAGCCGCCGCTCGACACCCTCTTCTTCTTTGTACTCGGTGTAATGTTGAGTGTACTTCCTGGGTCGTTCGCGTCCGTGCGGCTGCGGTGGTGGCCATCCCCTTTGGTGTTGGAGGTGGCGTGCCACTTCGTCGAACCTTCGGTTTATGGCCTCAATCAAGGCCGTGCGGTCATCGGTTATGGCGGTCTTGGTGTCGATGAACTCTTTGGTTAGGACTTCGAACCTTGCATCGACATATTCGCTCATGGTTTTGAATTGCCCTTCCAAGCTCTCGATTTTTTCCTTCATCTCTCGATTGGCCATCTCTTTACGCTCTTGCTTTCGCTCCTTA